TCTAATGGTGACAGTGGGGTATTGAATTCCCCTACTATTAATGAGTTGGAATTAATCTGGGTCTTAAAGTCCTGTAGAATTGTTTCTATGAAGTTGGGTGCCACAGAGTTTGGTGAATATATGCTCATGATTGTAATATCTTCTTGGTTTATTGTTCCTTTGATCAGAATGAAGTGGCCCTCTTTGTCTCTTCTGATTGGTTTTAGTTTAAAGTCTATTTTGTAAGATAGTAGAATTGCAATTGCCTGCTTTTTTCTTAGTACCATTTGCTTGGTATATTTTTTTCCATCCTTTCACCTTAAGGTAGTGTCTGCCCTTGAACGTGAGATGCGTTTCTTGCAGACAACAAAAAGATAGATTTTGTTTCTTGATCCATTCAACTAGTCTGCATCTTTTGACTGGGGAGTTCAGTCCATTGATATTTAAAGTTATTAATGAAAGATGAGTATTGAATCCTGTCATTTTTATTTCTGTTCACATTCTTGATATAGCTGTGCATTTCCACATTCCTTCGTTGAATTTCTTTCCTTCTCCCCTTGCATATAGTCATTCCTTTCTTCAGCTCTTTGTATTGCTTCAAGGACTCTCTGAAGGGCTGGTTTTGTCGACAAGAATTCTTTCAGCCTGTTTATGGCACGGAAGATTTTTCTTTCCTCTTCAACTATGATAGACATTTTGGCTGGGTAAACTAATTTGGGTTGGCATCTGTGGTTATTTAGAACCGGGGATACTTTGGTCCAGGCTCTTGTGGCTTTCATAGTTTGCACTGAAAAGTCAGCTGTAATCCTGATGTGTTTTTGTTTATATGTGGCTTGTTGTTTCTCTTTTGCAGCTTTCAGTATTGTCTCTTTATTCTGAATGTTTAGTGTTTTTACTATGATGTGCCATGGAGAGTTTCTTTTCTGGTTCTGTCTATTTGGTGTTCTATATGCCGCTTATATGTATGGGCATTTCTTTTTTAAATTTTGGTAAATTTTCTTCTACAATCCTGTTGATGATCTGTTCCATACCA